AAAAAAAAAAAAAAAAAAAAAAAAAAAAAAAGTGCCTGAGCTATTGCAATGATGGAATGTCTCTGGGGATTCGTTGGGGATCGTGGTTTTAAGGTCATGGGAGGAAGTGCATCTGTACCCTTTCATAGTTTTGTGATTGCACTTGTTAAGCAGTACAAGCTTCGGACATCATGAAGAAAAAATAAAAGCGATAAGCCTACGGTGAAGTGCAACGACAAAACTAACGTAACATTAATAGCTTCTGAGTGGCAAATTGGTTAAACAAACCAGGCACTATAAAAATGGGTGTAAGCAAACAAATGTGGATTTTTTTTTAAAAAAAGAGGGACAGAAGTAAAGATATGCATGCACTTTTTTCCTCCCAACCATGCTCTGTGAAAGGAAGACTAGTGAGCCGTGTCGTTGCTCAAAGTGCTGAAGAGGCATTGATCAAATTAGATTGTACAATCGGCACCTTGTTTAGTATTTAAGTTGTTTTAGTTGTCAATATCACACTAATCGCTAAGACAAAGCAAAGCCTACACTTGGCATATTCCCCTCCCGAGAGTTTTTGAAGGTATCATGCATATCGTCTGTGGTGCGGTGATGGTGCCAGGTACGGGACTCGGTTACATACAGTGGTTACATACACGTGAGCCGGGGGAACGGGGATTACGACATAGGAAATGGGTAAATAAAAAACACAAAACTACCATCTACAGTCTGGTAGCACTGAACACAACTGGGTGGTGGTGAAGACAGTTGCTAGGTGGCTGGGGAGAGGCTGCTTAGACGTCAGACCTCCTCAGGTATAAAGCCAGTTCATATGCTTTCTTGTTGAGTGTCCCTCCATGGACACCTTCCTTTCCCATGACTATAACCAATGCTGGAGTACACAAGGAAACAAAACAAAAATGAACAGAATTAAAGGGAAAAAAAAAACAACAAAAAAAAACACCTTTCCCCACCAACAAAGGGATACAAAGGAGACACAGGTTCATACCCCATCACCCTGCATTGCTAATAAAGTTTCCAGAATGTAAGGTTTAAAGCTCACCGCCAGGAAAGTTTAATAGCAATCTTCCCCTAATACTTAACAGTCTGCCTAGCAACTAGAACCCAGAGTCTCTCAAGTATTTTGCCATTGAGTATGCCTTCTTATTCAATCCGCCTCCATGGACCCCTTCTTTGCCCATTACAAAGACCAAGACTGAAAGAGAAAAGAAAAAAAGTTTTAAAAAGAGTATGTTAGACAAGGAAACAACGCAAGTTCTAGGCAGTGCAATAAACACTCAAATTCAAGATTTAGTATCTGGGCATTAAGCTAGCTTAACAGGAGTTTTGTAAAAGTAGGGATGTAGACGGGGCTGGGAGAAGGCTCGAGTTATCCTCAGGGCTGTTAGGTAACTCTTAAGTCTTAGGAGAGTTCACTGCTAAGAAAAATGCCACCGACTATCTCTGAAAAGCATCACAGTGCCTCTCCCCCATCAGCACCATCCGTCACCACCCAGCAAGGAAACCCTGGCCGTGTCTAAAAAAAACAAGGGGCAGAAAAGAAGTGTCAGGACAAAAGCAGTGGTGCATGGGGAGGAACTGTGAATCCGAAGAGCAGATGAGGGAATGTTGGTATATTCTTCTCTTTAGCGTTCACTGCCAGTGTAAGAACCAGAGTAACCGCCTGATACCGGTGGAGAAACCCAGGGGTCAGGCTTGGGCCGAGACTTTTCCGTCAAAATACAACTACAAACCACGCTTTCTGCGGCAGACAAAAGGCAGGGAAGGCTTTAAGGCTGACCCTGCCTCTGCGGCCAGGATTTTGGTGGAGTGTCCCCATTGTCTGGCGAGGGAGATCGTCCCCGGCAGCCGCGGGCTGCCAGCAGATGTCACCCGCAGATGTCACCCACCGGCACCCGCACAGCCGGCATGGACTGTTCCCGGCTGGGAGGCTGTAGTTGGAAATACTGCAGTCAGCCTACCTACAGGTGATTGTGCATCTCCATAGCAATTTGCTCACTAAAAGCTTCAGACAGACAGCTCTCGCTGGCGCCTCACCATCTGCAGCCGAGCCAGAGCCCTCTCGTCTCACTGCACGCTGCAAATGCCCTTCCCCTGCCACCGCCACCCGGCTTGAGCCCACAGACAACTTCTGCTCTAGTTTTGGTTTTGTACTTATAAGCAAAATTCTGTTGCTCACTAATTTGTTCCACAGCCAGTCAAAAAATGTCAGGCCAGATATTTTGACAACAAGGCATCCTACTCACAGCCCGCACTCTGGGGCATGTTTTGTGTGTCCCAACCCCGTGCCGTCCCTGTAGCCGTTTGACTAGAAGCCACGCGAGGAGCACGGGGAGCAGGCGTGCTAGCATAGGGCAGGTTTCTCTGTGACACCATTATCGGACGGGCTTTTTGGCCTGAAGACAGACTCCAGAGAGCTCAATAGGAAGTGCAGGAAGAGTTAGTGTAGGACTGGTTAAAAGGCAAGTAGGAGCAGCTCATACAAGAAACTCACATCTTTGCAGAATAAACTTTCCGTTGAGAAGTTCACAGGGAAAAGTCTTGTTTCGGTACTGATCACCAGTAGCTCCCTACCGTGAGCTTTGGACACGGAGTTACTCGGTAAGCTCACTGTAAGCTCAGAGCAGGCCCCGCTCTGCTGGCCGGAGCTGTTTAACCATTTCAGAGCCCGACGCCCGGCTGCAGGGGGGGACAGGGACAGGAGTGGCTGCTGGGCAGAAGCCTCATCCGTCGGCCTGACCACTGCCAGCCACCTCCCTACGTCACTTCCTGACATCAGCCATTAAATACAGGGCTCTGGCGTGCTTAACAGCCCGAGCCTACGCTTAGGGTCACATTTTTAACTGGGGGATCTGAAAGTGAAGAAAATCACGCTTACCTCGGCCAGCTCTGCCTACAGCAACATTGTATGTTGGCTCACCACCTTGACTCTTTGTCCTGATGTCCATTGTGCAGTCGCCGTCAACATACAGGCTATCTCTGATCACAGAGCACTTCTTTGCACCAAGGGTCAGACCATTGGTGAAGAAACCCTCTCGGTCTTTTCCTACAATCATATCTATTTCTACCGGCTGTCAAGGAAAAAAGCCCAGAGTTAGCACGACGGCGTTTCATTGTTTAATCTCTGTTTAGCGGGCGTCCTGTCTCTGCCGGGAGATCAGACAGTTTCGCCTCGCTCCCACCAGGAAGTGCTCCGCCAGGCAGGGCTTTGTTAGTCACAGTTTACACCGCGCTGCTTTATCACCGCTGGAAGCGGCGGAGCGGCTGCCCGGGAACAGGTCCGAGCCCGGGCCTGCGGCCCCTCCGGGCGCGGGTTCCCGAGGAAGCCGGCCCCGCGCCACCGGGGCCAGTTAAGCCCGGGATTTGCCGGCCGCGCCA